TTTTCAAAATAACCTCAAAAAAATCTAAATCTAAAATGGTGATCTTTATTGTTCTTTTTTTTCCTGCTTTTTTAATTGAAAATATTTAAGATTTTGTTTTGTTCAATTAGAAACGTTTTTCATATGAGAGAATATATATTTTCATAAAAAAACGATTTCCTTATGTATTCAAAATCACGCGACATTGATAAATATGAAACATTGTCTTTTGATACAATGTTTTAATAATCTTATTTGATAAATTTTAAAATTAAAAGAAAACAATTCGTAATATTGTAGAGAGATTTTTTTAAATATCATCGAATGCTAACAACAGTATATTTGTAATCAGTGTGATCAAGGTAACATTATATTCACTTTGAGCCAGTTATCTACATAGGAATTGATCTTATTCTTTCGCTTTTAGACATCGTCCTTTTTTCGCATCAGGTGTATTGAAACTAATATATATTGAAATACATATACATTGCCATCATCAATTATTAGAAAATCTCTACAGTTAATATAAAGAAAGCTCGAATTGAAACTGAAATCTTCTTTTAACATATTGGTGTCTTTGTGAAATAAATTTTAATTAAATATTAATATCAACTAAAGAAACGCGTTATATTGCTTTTATAGTTCGAACAAGGAAATTATAGAATAGGAAGTTCTCAAAGTATGAAAAGCTTCTGGTGAATAATTTCGTTGATCACTTGATAGTCTTGCAAAATTTCAATATTGTTATGTTTTTGAACAATGAACCAATTCATCTGAGAAACAACTAGTCATATGTTGAATTTAAAGTAAAATTTTTCAAGGAAGAAAAGTAAAAGAATTTCATAAAGCATTCATTATCGATTTCAATAAAGAGATGAAAAAATCTAATACTAATAAAAAAAGATATTCATTTGTAATTCCAATGCGTAGTTCAAAAATGTACAAAAAAATTGTTGAAAATCATTATGATAATAATGCTCTGATACCGTCTACATAAATAAATTAATCAAAATACGACAGCTTGTTATTTACATCACTAAGAAAATGTTCAAGTATGTAAAAGATTGTTCCCAATAATTATTTAACTTGAAAATTTTAAGTTATTCTTAAAAATCATATCAAAAGATCAGTTGAAAAAATTATGCAGAGAAATTTCCCTTATGGTAGTTCGATCTGTACTTTTTTAGTATTTAATTTGTTAGGCATTGCTCAATGTCTTATTTTTTCTTATTTTTTGTTTTGAGTGACTTGTTTTTCTTGAATTTAAATGATTATAATGGTTAGACCCCAAACACACCAAAAAATTTAAAACCGAATAAACCAATGAGATCGCTAGAAACGTTAAAACAGAATTAAGTCATCTCTTCGAGACGAATTAACGTTAATGCACCAATCAGATATGATTTCGTTTCAGCAATAGAGATAAAAATGTGGCGCCTTCTACAACTACGTTTTCCCTAGCGTGATACTCACGAATCTTTTTCTAGTGAATGCTTTATAATTTGTTTTGCTATAGTTTTGCTTCGTAAATATTTTTTCTCTGTTTTTCAATAGTTCTAAAATTTTTTTAATAAAAAGGAAATACATGATAAATTTTTTGTTTATGTTTCGTAATGTAATAACTTGTTCTTGATCTAATAATCTATTTTAAAATAGATTTTATTTCATTAATTTATTAACAATGCTTTTGAGAATGACGTGTTAGTAAGCGGACACGTACGTTAGCGACACTTCTCATGCATTAATAATTTTTACTATGCACTATGCATACATGAAAGAGGCCTGCTTCATACTCTGATTGGTGGATTAATTGCTTGCTGTGGACGCTTGTTGAATTAAAACAAAATTAATAATTCTGACGAATTTTTGGTGTGTTTGGGGTCTTACAGTGAATGATGTCGAAAGCAAAAGCAAAAATATCAAAAAAACAAATATCCAATGGAAAAATGTCGAATGAAAAAATATCAATATAGGTGACACTTTCATCTCATTTCGACATTTCTTCATTGATTGTTATTCAGTATATAACCATTAGGCCAATGATAATACAATAGACTACTGAAAAACTTTCTATTGTTTTGGTCACCATAAAATAGATCATGTTTTCATTAGATATAGTGCAAATTTCATCAAAACTTATATGTTGACGAAATCATTATGTATACATAGAAACAAAATAAGGTCAACTATTAAGAAAGAATATCTATAAGTAGAACATTATTTGTTTTTTACATTCTAAAATTAAGAATAATATTGAATGAACTTTTCATTCAATTCTACGTTCAACAGTAATACAAAAGATGCTTTTTCATACTATATTATGATATCTAGCATTTTGATTCTCATACATTTTTTTTTCTATCTCCTCAGCAATAAAATAGTTCAATAGCATTTTTCACATATTAGTGATTTAAGAACTATTGTATTATTATTTGCACTATTTTTTGAAGCTTTGAACAAGAAGGATGACTTTTTTTGAATTTTCTTTATATCATCTAGAAGCACGAACCCAAACTGAAACTTATATTGAAAGGAAACAAAAAACGGAGGTATCAATAAATGATAATAGTTCTTCACAAAAAGATATGTATTGGGCAAAATATTTTTCTTTTTCGATGAGTTGAATTATACTTTTTGAGAATTTCATCATGAAATGTATCTTTTACCGAAAAATATTTTTATCAGTCGATTTACTACCGATTGATATTTGAATTGAGAAATCTCAAAAATATTGTAATCTCTAATGAAAATAACATTCAATATTGAGGAGCTCATGTGAATTTTTTCAAGTATATAATTTGATCACAGATGCAATATTCTTTGAAATTTTGTATTAACTGAATCGAAATTCCATGAGCGTAAACAGAAGACACTGATGGATGATGGTTGAACTTGAAAAATATACGTCTTATATCGTTCAACAATAGTTTGATAGAATTTTCTCATCATAATTAATAATGATCGTTTATTCGTTTATCTTTACTTCATTTCTATACCGAGAAACAATTGTTAGATGAAATATCATTTTTTTCTCTTAGTGATCCTGTGGCATATGTACATATCAGAGCATCAACCAGGCCGTGTTTTTGTAGGCCTGGCCGGTCCGTGACAGGCCTTTGCATTTCAAGCCTGCCTGTGCCTGTCAACTAATTTGGTCGGCCTGGCCTGCCTGCCTGTCATTCTCTACGGCCTGCCTGGCCTGCCTGACAAGGCCTGTCAATTTTTTTTAATGCTAATATCATTACGAGGATAGAATAGAAACATGTAATTAATGTTGAGAATGAAGAAAACCAGTTTAATTAATTTAATATGACTAGATGAAGCATTTACTTATCGAAGTTTTCATACAAAAAAGAATACATCAGAGACAGCATCGCATAACATTAAGAAAAAAGTAAAGGTTTTAACAATCGATAAGAAAGATCTTGATGATAATCGATAATACAATTTTTAGCAATAATCAATAAGAAAGATCTAAATAATAATAATAAAGAACGAATTTTTGACCACAATCAATGAACGAATTCCCTAGTCAACTCTCCCTAAATGAATCGTCAGGGGGTCCCTAGGGATTTCGTTCTTTTGCGGGGGCTCCCCGGAGAGTTATCTGGTCAAAATGGATGAAATTTCTAATTACTAATAAATTCTTCTTAATTTTTTTAAATTTAAAAAACTTAAAAATTTTTTTTTTATTTTAAAAAATTTTATTAATTTTCCCCAGAGAAATCCCCGGGGAGTCGTCGGGGGAGAGTGAATTAGGGTTCTATTAATCAATAAGAAACTTGATGATAATCGATAGTAAAGATTTTAAGAATCGATAAAAAAAGATCTATATGATAATCAATAAGAAAGGTTTTAACAATAATCAGTAATATTAAAAAAGACAGATGAATGAAAACACAAAGAACGAATGGAGAAAGGAAACGAGCTATGCAATTTGAACTGAACATTATTCATCATTTGGATCAATCACAATGAACACAATACATTATTCTATACTTCATCTGATTATTCGCGTCAACTTCAATTAAAAAAAACGTTTATATCGAAAATAAAATTATATATATAAAGGATAGAGACAGGCCAGGCGGTCTGGTGTTTTTAAGCCGCCTGCCTGCCTGGACGAGGGTTCGGCCTGGCCTGCCTGTGACAGGCCAGGCCTCAAGATCATGGCCTGTGCCTGTCACAGGAAGGCAGGCCCAGGCAGGCAGGCAGGCAGGCCTAGTGACCTGGTTGATGCTCTGGTAGTTACTAAAATATATAAAGTTTCTGATTGGTTTATCAAATAGTTTCCTTCAAAACTAAATGTTTTTGCGGCGCTAATGTCAACTTGTTGAATATTCGTATTTATTTAATATTTCAATGCAGAGGGAAGAAAAAAACTTGTGTTTTTAGCTTCTTCGTCAGAATCACTATTCATTAGAAAATGAATGAGCTATCTCTCGAGCTTGCTGATAATGAAATATTAAATGTGAGTCGTTAAAAATTATTATTCTATCGATAATCCTAGATTTACTATATAGAATAACAACAAAACTACCAATGCTTACCACTTCTATATGTAAGACGAATTGCATAAATTGCAAAAGATTTTATGAGAGAACGATCACATTTATCGAAATATTATGTTCAGACCTCAGCGTGTGAACGAAGCCATGGGTATGAATGAATGAAACGAAGACACACACTCCACACCCTTATTCTTTCTTTTTGCATTTCTTTTAAATTAAATTAAATATTTTAGTCGGAGTTTCTTCGTTCTTTTTTAAATGGTACTAAATTGAAAAAATAAGCCAGTATTTCATTGGAAAAGATTCGAACAATGCACTTTGTTTTCATATCACGTTTGTTTTGAACAAAAATAAATAAAGTGCCGTCTTTAGATTCACTAGCGCACTTCTAGTCAGCTTGGATTATAGAAAAATGAACCTTTGTTTTCATGGACGACATCAATCAGTTAGATGAAAGAACTATGTACATATAAATACTCGCATATCGAAGTTACAAAATCATATACAGAAATGAAAACAAGCATGAAACATTCAACGATTCAATTGGGTGATTTGCCTGATGAAATTCTTATGATGATTTTAAAAAATATGTGCCAAGTTGATGTTCTCTATTCTTTAATAGATGTTAATCAACGACTTAATACAATTGTGCATGATCCAATTTTTACTAATCATTTGGCATTACTGAAACATTTATCGGATGGTTCCATATGTTCATTAACTGATTCAATGCTTGATCAATTTTGTTCACAAATTCTACCTAAAATTAATCATAAAATCAAATGTCTTCATCTTGAATCATCATCTATGGAACGTATTCTTCTAGCTACAAATTATCCTAGTTTAGATGAACTTTCTTTATGTAATATTACCCTCAAAACAATTATACAATACTTTTTGGGTGAGATATATTATTTCAATTGTTTTAATTGAGAACAAATAAGACACATATATAGAAAAAGAACCGTCGCATTGCAGTTTTTTTGAGACTAAAAATTCCTCAATTCATAAAATATCTGATAAATGATTGATCAGTATTTTTTGTCATTGCTGAGGAATTATATTACAGGTATTTCATGACTTTTGTATTTGTGTTTAGACAAAAATGCATTAACTGATCTATTTAAAAATAAAATTTTATCACTTACTTTCAATATGCATGAAAAGGAAAATGGTGGAGAATTGTTCAATGCAATTATATTTCAACGTATTATTAAAATTTTCACCAGTCTACAATATTTGAATTTGTGTTCATCTTCTATTTGGTATTCAAGAATATCGTTGAACGCTTTTACTAAAGATTTAGCCTCTACAACTCTCTTAGAATTGCATGTTACTGTAAACAATTTCGATAATTGTCTTTATTTACTTGATGGACGTTTCAATCAACTTCATACATTTTATGTTAATGTTGCTGATATTCAATCTTCACAGAAAACAATCAATAATATGGTAAATTATTTTAATCAATATCTAATTTATGTAAATGAAATGGAATTTGCTCTATTTTCTAGGAAAATTTGCCTAATTTAAAATACTTTTCGTTGTATTCAAATGTTGTGACAAGTGCTTATGATGGATTAATTGTTCCACTTGTAAATCGAATGATCAATTTAGAAGAACTTAGTTTATATGTAAAAATTTGCGATATAAATAGATTTGTTGATGGTAATGATTTAAAAAAAAATATTCTCAATAATATGTCTCGATTGAAAAAACTTCAATTTTATATTCGTTCAACTACTGGTGTTCTTAGTCAAATTAATATACCATCAAATGAAGATATTCAATATACATTCAACGATTTTCATAATAATCATATTATTTCATATGTTGATTATTTTACAGACACTCAGCGAGGTCAATGCCATATTTATTCATACCCTTATACACTGAACGAATATTGTAAAATAACCAATAATTTTCCAGGTGGATTATATAAATGTGTTACTAAAATATCATTATATGACGAACGACCTTTTGAATATAAATTTTTTCTTCGAATTGCTCAATCATTTCCATATTTGAAAAAACTAATTATAGAAAATATGAAATCTCAAAATGATAAACCAAAAAGTGATGACAATCAAAATTTACCAATTATTGAATATCCTCATCTTATCACACTTGATCTTACTGAAGCTCATTTAGATTATATTGAACTATTTCTATTTGATACTAAAATGCGTTTGCCAAATAATATTTCTTTTATTGTCCTTTACCAAGCACTAAGAAGAGTAACAGAAAAATTTACAAGAAATGCTACACCAATCCATGAGAAAAAATTACATCGTTTAAGTTTGCTGGGTAAATATCGAATTCCTAAATATGTAAAAGAATATTTTCCTCATACAAAAATATGTAGTTGTGAATTTGTATAAAAGTTTATTTAAATAAAATTTGTTCAAAACTAAATTAATCTATATAAAATAAAAGCATTATGAAATAAACAGACTGAAGGAGAAAACATTTAAAGCGTAAAAATATACTTTTTATATATCAAAGCTTTTTAAATGTGAATGCAGGTATGGGTGTATCATATTATGTACAATCATGAAGCAAAATACCTATATAGATGCTCAAATGAGTATGAATCTTAGTGGTTGTAAATGCTAGCAAATTCATATCCTCAACTGATTTCATATGACTTAATAATGAAATCTGAATAATGTCTTCCATAATCCTCTTTTTAAGTATTGCATCTTAATATTAACTATTAGTACAAAATTTATCATGTTTTTCAATTTATTGAACACAAGTTGAAACAAAATTTCATTTACATTGTCAATATTTTCATGTCTGACGTTTAGTATAGTAAAAATTTGAATATACATGATGTTGAAGCTAATCAAATACAAAAGGAATTAAAAAGATAGAACATACAAAATCTGTGCATATTATTATATAAATGAGTAAGAGTTGAAAAGAAAAAAATATTTAATGATCAATATGATAGATTGAGTGTTTCAATAATAATTTAAACTTAATTCTTGTATGAAATTGAAAAGTAAAATTTGGATTTATCAACGGTAAGAAGAATAGATGTCATTGAAAGTGATTCAAGAATAGAACATTCTACATTTGTGTTGATCAATTTAAGAAATATTATCAGTGGATACAAAATTGAGAGTATTTCTAAAGATTTTTTCTTCTAATAGACTGTTTAAATGTTCATTATTAACGTCCGAAAATGAATCATAATATGGATGTTGATGATCAACCACTTGATATGGTGGTACAAAGGAAAAATGTTCACTAACAATCTCAATTTTGTATTAACAACGTAAGTTGATTGAATGCTTGATCGATTCTTCATTAATATGTTACCAAAAATTGATTTTAATGTTAAATGATTTATTTTTGAATCCGAATCTATGGAACGTATTCTTCTTGTTGCCGATTATCCTAATTTATCTGAATTCAAACTTTTCAATTTCACCCACAAAACCGTTGCATGTTACTTTGCAGGTAGAAAAACTCCTATGCTGATTAGATCATAGACTTTGATAGAAACTCTACAAGTAACGCGACGTAAGCGTCGCTAATCCTCTACTGAAATGGGTAACCATGTTTAATAAATAATAAACAATCATACAAGTTTTGGCGTAAGAATTCAACAAT